TAGGTAAATTCATCTTGATCACAAAGATAGCAAATGTAACATTAACAAAATTATACTCATAATAAATCTAATATAGTGGTAAATTGTAATTCCCAATTACACAAGTAATTTTATTTAATTAGATGGCCTGTTTAGATATTGGATATTATATTAAAAACTCAAGAAAAACATTTCAGAGAGAAGTTGGTAACTTATGCATTTATAATGTCTTCTTTCCCTGATGTACTTTAAAGATTGTCAGATGACTTCATACAACATAAAGTGATGTCTTAATTATAAAGTTTTGCCTTTTGAGTTATGTTTTGATTATTTTAGTAAGAGTTATAAGTTGCTAAAATAATTATCAGTTTTTTATGGTGTGACATATTTTTCAGTAATGATTGTATTTTGTGATTAAATTTATATTAAAACATCTCAAGCTGATATGCTTCATATTTTAGATAGTAGTGAAAACTAATAGGATTAAGCTCTGGAAGGAAGCATGAAAAAGAGACCACAGTAATTCAGTAAAATGTTATAATGTATTCCAGAGCATCCTTACCTGCAGCTTTGTACATTTCCCACCAACCTGTGTCCTAACTGTGAATGTACTATAATGAGATTTGGTAGAGTGACCTCTGCAGCTCTTCACTCAATAAGAAAAGTGCTGGAAGAAATCGAGTTGCCAGGTCTGCACAGTATGGTGTCTCAAAATTTCCCTTTGCACATGAAAGATAAAGTAATTGGGAGGAATGAGAGATATATGTCAGGCACATGTAACACCTAAGTCTAACATGGTGTTAGGATGTGAAACATACATGGGGTATCAGAAGATGCAGATCTGATGAACACATTTAAAACAAATCTTTTAAGGTGATGCATGAGTTTTGAGTATCATCTAATAAACAAGATAAATAAATAGCACAAGCGTGGAAGTGATATTTGATCCATTTTTACATTTCTGGAATTAACATAATTTGACATTAGTGACTTAATATTTGTTGACATCACTGCAGATAACATTTCTGGGGGAATGTGGATATTTTAAATAATTATACAACAGGATTCATCCTGTGTTTTTGATCACTTTATAATAATCTCTAGAAAAACATTATTTGCGGTGCTTGACCACCATTATGAAATTAAAATTATGCTAAAGATAAGGAATAAATGTCAATTACCAGATTTTATTGCCGTACTAAAGTATAGCCTCACAAAGAACCAATCAGAGGGTTGCATTTATATCTGAATTTCTAAAATCACTTGACACTCCCTGCTAACAAGTGCATTTTCATACTCATTATAAGACTTTTTGGTATATTATGCTAATTATTTTCCTGCACTCTGACTCCCAAACCACAATGAATCTTATTATAAAAGCAAATCACTGTAAACTTCAAACAGCATGCATCTTTGAGATGCCACTATTAAAGGAAGAACAGTAATGGGAAATCTTTGATGTTATCAGACGAGATGGAAAATACACATTTGTATTTGAGTAAATCCTGTGGACCGAAGCATTTCCCCCTACCCTTAAATTACCTGAAACCAATTTCAAGTTCCCAAATGCTCTTCAAAGCAACCTGCCTTGGAAGGTGATGTGGATGGCATTTCAAATTTCAAGGCAGCTTGCTTTTTCCATCTCAAGGCTTCAAGCAGATTTGAAATTTCACTTTCAAAGAGAAAGGATATTACCTACTTTTACCCAAACCACTGGCTTCTGGTTTGATGAACAATATGTCACGGGTAATGAACTTACCTATGGCAATGAAAAGATGATATGTAACTGAGTAACTCAGAGTTTGAATAATGCAGCTAATTCTAGAGAATTCTAAGCTATCTAAGCTGTAAGTGTTTAGATACTTCATGCTTCAATTTTTTCTTGTTCTGGCATTGTGGCCCAAAAATTGGAATGTAAACTTTGGGCATGTGGCAGAGCAACTGTACACAACTGTAATTAATCCATCTCCTCCTGAATGGGGCGTCTGTGAAGCTGAGGACAAAACTTGATGTGTGCTTGACTCCTGTGCCCACAGGGAGCCTGGGCCACACAATTCAGAACATTCATACTGTGAATAATCCCTGTAGCAGGAGGGTTGGTCTGTGGCTTCTTAAAAGGATGTAGATTTGTGGTCAGCAGAAACATCCATGAGCCTCTTTGGGCTAAAGGATACAGTGGCCCTAGTGAAGTTCCCCTAGCATTTAATTAGGTTTCCTGTAATTGCTTTAAGTAAAAGAGGGGAATGAAACCTGAAGTTACCATCTTGGGACACAAAATATTTGTATGCGGTTTTAATATCCTGAGCCCATTTGTTGCTGCTCTATATTTTGGAAAGAGCCATTATAGGGCTAAGGAAATACACACGGCGGGTTTATCAGTCCTTTGGTGACTAAATTTACTGCAACACTCTTTAGAGGAAGAGATTTGCTTCCCGTAACTGACTTTTTGAATACACAGAGAAGGTATAAACAAGTAAAACAGGCAAAAGTCTTAAACACAGAAAGTGGAATAAAACGAAAGGTGGTGGAGAGGAGGGAAGGCTCCCTGTCATTGCACAGGTTTCTAGATATCAGAAAAATGAGGATAATTACAATGAGACGGGAAAATGAGAGGCCCAAGCAAGGACCGGAAATAAGAAGGAAAATGGTGTTGTTTGTTAATAAGTTGTGTTTTTTGCTGTGGAGATTTGTTTTATTATTTGGACGTTGGCTGAAATAATCTAGGAATCTTTTTATAGAGGGGTGAGGGGTTGGAATATACCAGTTACTTAAATTTTTTTTCAAACTGTATAAGCATAAAAGGATTACAAATTTGTTAAACTTTAATTTTTAAAGTACTTAATAAACTTTTGAAAATAGAGTTGTCTTGTCAGGGCCTTGCCCTGCCTTGGGCTTATGAAACCTACTTTCCTGGGCTTCGTCCCAGTTCAGGGACTCTTGAGTGGACCTAAGGACTAGGTCCCATCAGCTTGTGACAGGAAGAATTGTTTATCCCCCAGTGGGTCAACACTTACTATGATCGGGTGGTTGTTAATTTCCTTGAGTGCTTCCACCCATTTGAGCATTTTAGGGTAATGCTTGATTTTAGGGTGAGGACCAGAATACTATTTTAGGGTCTCCAGATGACACCTCTTTCATGTTACCTATGCTAGGAAGCCATGATCAAACATTGTAAGAAGTCAACTGTTAGGAACTAGTTAAACTCCATATCTCATACATATCATAGCATCTATTATTTGTTAGTCCTTCTTGCTTGAAACACTTGGCTCTCAGAAAGAAATCCCAACTCCTAAACATGGTGTATAAAAGTGGTTCTCAAACTGTAGCATGAATCAAAATTCTTGGAGGGAGGGTTTGTTAAAATATTGCTTGGCCAGACTCTCAGTTTTTCTTATCCAGTGAGTCTGGAGTGGGGCCCAAGAATCTGCATTTCCAACAAGTTCCCAGGTGATATGGACGAAGCTGTTTTGCAGGCCACATTTTGAGAACCACTGGTTTACAAGAATGTAGATAAACTGGTCTCTTTCTTGTCTCCAGTTCCGTTTCATACCAGCAGTCTCTGTTGTCTTCTCCTGGTTTCCCAATCTCCTGTTCCCTTTCCTGCTTCTTCCTATATATCCTGACTCTCTCCCCATATGATTTAACCAACCTAACTCATGTTGGATCCTTCATACTAAGGTGGGTCCCCTTGTTACTCATTCTCATTGTCCTCGTACTTCTCCTCTGCAGCATTGAACACAACTGTAATTAAATAATAAATTAATACGTGTCCTCCTTTCAATAATAGAAGTTCATTGAGGGCAATGACTGTCTTACTCATCAGGGTTGCACCAGTACCTAGTACAATATCTTCTACATAATTGATATTCAGTAGGTATTTGATCAATGGATGAATGAATGGATGAATAAACAATACAAAGAAACACACTGATCTTTTGTAGTGTGCTCATACTTGACCCAGAGGAAGTTTTCCTGCTCCCTAAGTGTGCCCCTACCAGTTCTCTCAATAGACAGTCTGTGCTGGAAGTGTGCAGGTGAACTGGCTGTTGCCCACATACATTGTTCAGATAATCCTTCTTGCTCAATGCAAAGAGGCATTATTGCAGGATAAATCTCTAAAATAGACTTTGGGACCTCAAAACAAATACCCCTAAAATGACAATCCTAGATTCTTAGTTCAGTTTTTGTTATTTAGGATTACATAATTCTGTGAAATAAATTCCAATTATTTGAGCATTTTAACTGGAGGCCACTTTATTTTTCACATGATTTTGGTTACATTATTATTATAGAGAAACATTTTAGCTTTCAAAATATTGCTCATGAAAACTTTAAAGTCATACATTCTTTGGACAGGATAGCAGAGATCCGTTAACTAAGGCCAGTATTTCTTTCAAGAAAAATGATATAACAAGCAAAGCTGTTTAAAATGACAGTTTTTAAAAATCATTACATATTTATAAACTACTAGGTCATAATAAAACCTGGCACACATGTTTGTATATATAAATATATATATGTATGATCTATATACTTTGATCATAGTTTTAGGTCATTCTTTCTTATTCCATGTAAAGAATTAGGAAGACTTAGTTACTATAAAGCTGTGTACAGCACATGGGTATCTTACAACTTATATAATTAATTTAGAATCCTTCGAAGAAGTAAAATCCAAGTTCGTACTTGAATACAGAGATGTTTGAATACACCCCACTCCCTGAAGGAAGGTGAATATCTGTCAGGCCATAAGGGGAAAGATGGAATTTTGTGAAGTTAGAGATCTACTCTGCTTTCATCTTCTGATGAATCCAGAAGATCTGAAACAGCAAATAAGAGAATGAAAAAGTTGTGAGTCAAGTAACTGGAGCCAGAGGAAAATCAGAGGCGATGAGAGAGACAATATCCAGGATGCTGGTCTGTGGCATCTCAGAAGGATCATAAGGGGAAAAAGTTGGGTAAGGTGTTTTGTATTTCATTAGTACAAGTCTTCTCCTGACTTAAATCTTCCTTTCCCTTGGCAGGTCTCATTGTCCGTGAAGTGAGCATTGAGATTTCACGCCAACAAGTAGAAGAACTCTTTGGACCTGAAGATTACTGGTGCCAGTGTGTAGCCTGGAGCTCTGCGGGCACCACCAAGAGCCGGAAGGCCTACGTGCGCATCGCATGTGAGTCATTGTGCAGGGACACTGTGGATTTCAGAAACTGATGAGATACGGAAAAATTTGGACCATAATTGCTCTAATGTCAAAGAACCCTGATGAAAAACTTCTCCGAGATTTCTACATTAGAGCTACACTTTCCCCTTACATCACCAGGATTTCATTTTATTTGTATGTTTCAAGGCACTGAGTAATTTCCCTTTAGCAATGTGAAAGAATTAGTGCTACTTTCAAAAGATTGAATCTTCTTTTTTAATCTGGTAGTGATTAGGCTATGGGAAAACCAACTATATTCCTTTAATGAGTTTATTCTACCAGTTTGTTAGGACAGTGCTGACCAGTTTTGCTATTAGAAATAGAAATTACCCAGACAAAGTGTCTCTATTTATTTTAGAACTGTTCTAGTGTACCAAAATACACCACTATTTTCCAAACTCTGTTAACTTCTGGAGTACTCATATTCAGGGAGAGGTTAAAAGGTGCCTCACAAAAAAAAGTATTCCATAATCAATAAATGTGGGAAATACTTTTTTTTTGGACAAAATTAAGGAGGTTTCTTTGCAAAATTTTTCATATTCTTTAATATGCTAATGTGCATGTTATCCCCAAGGGGGAGATGTAGCCTGCAGCTCTTTCTGCAGACCTTTTCTCAGTGAGTGCTGTTCACATCTTGAGCATCAAAAATGCTGCTTTAATCTGTCTTAAGTTTCCATATTGAGAAATTTTCTCAAGTGTGAGACCACTGAAATCCATGTAAATTTTATTGTCTGAATTCCTTTGCATGTCTGTATTTTACTAAATTTCATTTTGTGTTGATGTCAGTATCACTTACCTCTAATAGGTCACTAAGTCCCAACAATGTTGGCTCACAGGCTTCCCCCAATTCTACTCTCACCTCTTCCTTCCCTTCTGCTTGATCTAGATCCCAACTATTGCAAACACTTCCAGTTAGTCTCCATGGCTGAAGACCTCCCTCTTTTCCAGTCCTTCCTCTGTATTACCACAAATGCAGTCTTCCTAAGACTCAGGTCTCACCTCTGCTCACCTCCATCTCTGCTTAAAATTTTACAGTGGCTTGTGAGAGAAAGTCAAAATTTCTCACAGTGATAAGTATTATTGCAATAGTTTGCTAGAGCTGCCATAACAAAATTCCACAGAGTGGCCTGAACAACAGGATTTGTTTTCTCACAGTTCTGGAAGCTGTAATAAGTCCAAGATCAAGGTGCTGGCAGTATTGGCTTCTTCTGAAGTCTCTCTCACTGGCTTGTAGATGGTTGTCTTCTCCATGTCTTCACGTGGTCTTCCTTCTGAGCCTATCCAGGTCCAAATTTCTCTTCTTATAAAGATGCCAGTCATATTGGATTAAGGCCCACTTAATAGCCTCATTTTAACTTAGTCACCTCTTTAAAGACCCTGTCTCCAAATAAAGGCACATCCTGAGGTACTGAGGGTTAGGACTTCAACAGGTGAATTTTTAGGGGGACACATTTTAGTCCATAACAACCGTATTTCATTGTTTACATAATGTAACCTATGTTTCCAGCTCTGACCACAAAGAATGTCTCCAGTCCAGTCACACTATATTAGAAATACTTCCATTACTATGCTTTCTAGTTCATACCAAAAGTCTTCCGCTTTCTCTTACTTCCTTCCATTATTTGTAATAAATTCATTTATTTCACAAGTAGTTAGTAAGCATTTACTCTTGAGACAATTGTATGTATTGGGTTTAGAACCAGAATCAAAACATGTAATGATGCCTGCTCTCAGGAAGCTTATATCTGGTGAGCAAGGACACACTCCAAATGAAAGAAGTTATCAGGCACAGAATGGGTGGTAAATGCTATGAGGAAAGATATGTGGGAAAAGGAGTTATGTTGTGCTGGATAGGGTGGTCAGGGAAGATATCCAGAAGAAGCTAACAGCTGAAAAAAACCTGACGGAAGGGACAGAGGAGTCACAAGTACAAATGCCCTGAGGCAGGGATGTGCTGGGCAGCGGGTGGTTCTAAGAAAACTGAATTGGCCAGGGTGGCGAAGACAGTGAGTGAGAGCAGGCTCTTAAAAAGTTAAGAAAGATAAGGCCTGGAAGTAAGGAAAGGAAGGCCAGTGTGGAGATGGCCTAGGGCCTCTGAGTGTGGTATCTTTGGTTCTTGATATGACATGAGAACTTTGGAATGTTTTCAGAGCAGAGGAATTCATGACATGACTTCCATTTTAGCAGAATCACCTGACTGCTGCATTGAGACTAGACCATGAGAAGCAAGAGCAGAAGCAGGGAGACCATTATGAGGCTGAGGCTATGAGAGATGTTAGGCTAGCATAGATTGGAAGAGGTCAAGCTGATGGATTCTAGATATATTTAAAGGCAGAGATAATAGCTCTTTTTTGAGAGATTGGATGTAGGATGAGAGAGAAAGAAAGGAAAGAATTATTCAAAAGGCCTAGGCATTTTGAAGGATTTCTTTCAGGTGTCCTTAATGAAGTCATTCCTGCCTCATCAGCCTCCAGAGCGAAAGGTATTCCTTTCTCAAACCTTTCAGAGAAGTTTGTCCATCCTCTTAATAGAGAGCTTTTCTCTTTTCAATTATATTCACTTGTTGTAATGTCTGGGTTTCATGCCATTGAGTTCCTTGAGGTCAGTTTTGCTTAATTCAGCTTTGCTTAACTTTATATCTTTAGTGCTTAGCACAAGGCATAGAACACCAAAGATGTTTAATAAATTGTATTGAATTGAAACCATTGAAAAGAATTCTTGGTGAAGTTTATTAAAATGCGCTATATTAATAATTCCTCACTGGGCATGTCTAAAGGGATTTTTTCTTTGTCTTATGTGGATTCTCTATGAAACAGACTTTGAGACGAGACATGCATGTGGGCTATATATCAGATAATGCTCTTAGGAACAGTATCTGTGGAGGAATAGAAATGGGCAGAGAGAGAAACTGAACTGCAATGCAGGTGTAACAAAAGATTAGCCCATGGGGATCTCTGGAGTTGGGATGGCCCTTCAGAGTCGTCCCACCTCGAAGCATAGGAGGTGAGTGGACCTTTGGCCCCCACACTGACTAGTCAATGGATATGGGTGCCTCCTTTATTCCTCACCCCCACCAAATTCTGTGACCTGGTATAAGTCAGCTCTTCTCAACTGAAGGCAATTCCAGGAAAGAGAGGCTGAGAACCTTCACCATCAACACTCCCAACAGGTGGGATCTGTCCTGAAAAGGGATGTCAGTGGCATACCACAGCATCCACCACAGCTGTCTACCACAAATCTTGAAGAATGTATTTTATTAATTATGAAGAACAAAAAGATACTTTTAAACATTTTAAAAAGAAACAAAAGACTGATTGTTTTGGTCAAATAATTAAATGAATTCAAAATTAGCTGCTAATTATAATCCAAGAGGCACAGTGATACAAAACAGTATCTTTCATTGCTATATGTTTATTAATGTCAAGTCTAATAACTATTTTAAGTTGCCAGTCTACACTCTACTAAACTGGCTTGCTTAAAAGCCGAAGTCTAAGGGCTTCCTAATTCCAAATGACGACTCTTGTGTTGTACCCATTTCATATATACATAATATAAGAGTATATAGGTAATATTCTCTTTATATAGCCTTATTCTCCACATAAAAATTAAAAACATATAACAACCCCATTTTTCTTTGCAACAAATTGCATAAACTTTGCTATTTACTTCACAGCTTTTAAACGTAGTTTGACATTTTCAAATCAGAAGACAAACTCTTCTTCTAGTAAGAGATTAATTTGCCCATAACACCTTTTCATCTTCATGTATGAAGAATGAAGAGCAGTTTGCTTGTACTTCCATAATTCACTGACTCATTTGTGTGTGGTCAAGGAACCACATCCAACATACGAAGATTTATCCATATAGATTTACATCATGATAAAAAAAAAGTTAAATTTCAAATTCTCTCTGTCAGGGCTGGTCCTGCCAAACAAGTCCTTGCTAATGTTGCAAAAAGACTGTAGATTTTCTAGTTGCTCTGTTTCAAGCCAGCTGTGGTGTCTTGCCCTGTAATGTGTGACAGATGGCCATCACATTAGCTGCACTTAAAGTGTAAACTTGTCTCAGGTAAGGATGACCATGATGTGGAAGTAAAATAGGTGCAGTTACCTCTCACCCAACTCATGTTATACTCATGATGTGTCTTACGCAGGGGCCCATAGTTCTTTCATGAAAAAGCTCTATTTGCAGAAGTTTATAAAGCAGAAATGGATACTAGCTATTCATTCATGTTTTTAAGTTTGCTTATCTTTTATACATTCAAACTACATAAAATAGAAAAGTAAGTGTGTGAGACAATCAGGACAGAGGAAAAACAGGAAAAAGGAAAGTGAGGGTCTGGCCAGGCACGAGCTGAAGACGTAAGTTGCCCGCGCTAGGATGCAGGCACGTTGACCACAGGGCAGTGCCAGGCAGGTGTCCTTGGTGCTGCAGCTTCCACTGCAGAGAGAGGAGCTTTTTCTGAGAGAACCCAAGTAGACCCTATAAAGACTGTCCAAAGCGGCACTCTCATGGTGATACAGCTGCCAGTTTCACTGGGTTGCTTCCTCCAGTGTCCCCTCTTCTGGACCAATGGGAAAATTCTGAGTGTTAAGGTAGGAAAACGTAGTGCAGGCAAAATGTCAGCAAACACTGTCTTTCTTCAGGAAATAGTTTCAGTTCGGCTGCTGTTGTTGATACTGTGATGTTGATGATGTCGTGGCTGCGGTTGTCAGGGGACAGTGGGTGAAGTGGGAAAAGAGCATAGTGGAGCGGAGAGAACACACGTTTGGGGGCCAGGTTGACATATTCAAATCCCCGTTCCATTACTTACTAGTGTGACCTTGGTCAAGCGACTTAACCCCTTGGAGACTTAGTCCCATCAACCGTGAGATGAAAATGATAGGGTTATTTTCAGATTAAACTAGAATAAACTTGTAAAGCACGTGGCATGTGCCAGACACAAAGCAAAGGCTCAGCAAATGTCCCGG